TCAACTCTACACTACACCCTCTATCAACTCTACACAACACCTACTGTCAACTCTACACAACACCTACTGTCAACTCTACACTACACCCACTGTCAACTCTACACAACACCTACTGTCAACTCTACACTACACCCTCTATCAACTCTACACTACATCCACTGTCAACTCTACACTACACCCACTGGCAATTCTACACTACACCCACTGTCAACTCTACACTACACCCACTGTCAACTCTACACTACACCCACTGTCAACCCTACACAACACCCACTGTCAACTCTACACTACACCCACTGTCAACTCTACACTACACCCACTGTCAACCCTACACAACACCCACTGTCAACTCTACACTACATCCACTGTCAACTCTACACTACACCCACTGGCAATTCTACACTACACCCACTGTCAACTCTACACTACACCCACTGTCAACTCTACACTACACCCACTGTCAACCCTACACAACACCCACTGTCAACTCTACACTACACCCACTGTCAACTCTACACTACACCCACTGTCAACTCTACACAACACCCACTGTCAACTCTACACAACACCTACTGTCAACTCTACACAACACCCTCTCTCAACTCTACACTACACCCACTGTCAACTCTACACAACACCCGCTGTCAACTCTACACTACACCCGCTGTCAACTCTACACTACACCCACTGTCAACTCTACACAACACCCTCTGTCAACTCTACACAACACCCACTGTCAACTCTACACAACACCCACTGTCAACTCTACACTACACCCTCTATCAACTCTACACAACACCTACTGTCAACTCTACACAACACCTACTGTCAACTCTACACTACACCCACTGTCAACTCTACACAACACCTACTGTCAACTCTACACTACACCCTCTATCAACTCTACACTACACCCACTGTCAACTCTACACTACACCCACTGGCAACTCTACACTACACCCACTGTCAACTCTACACTACACCCACTGGCAACTCTACACTACACCCACTGTCAACTCTACACAACACCCGCTGTCAACTCTACACTACACCCGCTGTCAACTCTACACTACACCCACTGTCAACTCTACACAACACCCGCTGTCAACTCTACACTACACCCGCTGTCAACTCTACACAACACCTACTGGCAACTCTACACTACACCCACTGTCAACTTTACACTACACCTACTGGCAACTCTACACTACACCCACTGTCAACTCTACACTACACCTACTGGCAACTCTACACTACACCCACTGTCAACTCTACACATCACCTACTGTCAACTCTACACTACACCCACTGTCAACTCTACACTACACCCTCTATCAACTCTACACTACACCCTCTATCAACTCTACACTACACCCTCTATCAACTCTACACTACACCCACTGTCAACTCTACACAATACCCACTGTCAACTCTACACAACACCCACTGTCAACTCTACACAACACCTACTGTCAACTCTACACTACACCCACTGTCAACTCTACACTACACCCTCTATCAACTCTACACTACACCCTCTATCAACTCTACACTACACCCACTGTCAACTCTACACAACACCCACTGTCAACTCTACACAACACCCACTGTCAACTCTACACATCACCTACTGTCAACTCTACACTACACCCACTGTCAACTCTACACTACGCCCTCTATCAACTCTACACTACACCCTCTATCAACTCTACACTACACCCTCTATCAACTCTACACAACACCTACTGTCAACTCTACACAACACCTACTGTCAACTCTACACTACACCCACTGTCAACTCTACACAACACCTACTGTCACCTCTACACTACACCCTCTATCAACTGTACACTACACCCACTGTCAACTCTACACAACACCTACTGGCAACTCTACACAACAACTACTGGCAACTCTACACTACACCCACTGGCAACTCTACACAACACCCACTGTCAACTCTACACTACACCCTCTATCAACTCTACACAACACCTACTGTCAACTCTACACAACACCTACTGGCAACTCTACACTACACCCACTGTCAACTCTACACAACACCTACTGTCAACTCTACACTACACCCTCTATCAACTCTACACTACACCCACTGTCAACTCTACACTACACCCACTGGCAACTCTACACTACACCCACTGTCAACTCTACACTACACCCACTGTCAACTCTACACTACACCCACTGTCAACTCTACACAACACCCGCTGTCAACTCTACACTACACCCGCTGTCAACTCTACACTACACCCACTGTCAACTCTACACAACACCCGCTGTCAACTCTACACTACACCCGCTGTCAACTCTACACAACACCTACTGGCAACTCTACACTACACCCACTGTCAACTTTACACTACACCTACTGGCAACTCTACACTACACCCACTGTCAACTCTACACTACACCTACTGGCAACTCTACACTACACCCACTGTCAACTCTACAAATCACCTACTGTCAACTCTACACTACACCCACTGTCAACTCTACACTACACCCTCTATCAACTCTACACTACACCCTCTATCAACTCTACACTACACCCTCTATCAACTCTACACTACACCCACTGTCAACTCTACACAATACCCACTGTCAACTCTACACAACACCCACTGTCAACTCTACACAACACCTACTGTCAACTCTACACTACACCCACTGTCAACTCTACACTACACCCTCTATCAACTCTACACTACACCCTCTATCAACTCTACACTACACCCACTGTCAACTCTACACAACACCCACTGTCAACTCTACACAACACCCACTGTCAACTCTACACATCACCTACTGTCAACTCTACACTACACCCACTGTCAACTCTACACTACACCCTCTATCAACTCTACACTACACCCTCTATCAACTCTACACTACACCCACTGTCAACTCTACACAACACCCACTGTCAACTCTACACAACACCCACTGTCAACTCTACACAACACCTACTGTCAACTCTACACAACACCCACTGGCAACTCTACACTACACCCTCTATCAACTCTACACAACAACTACTGTCAACTCTACACAACAACTACTGTCAACTCTACACAACACCCACTGTCAACTCTACACTACACCCACTGGCAACTCTACACAACACCCACTGGCAACTCTACACTACACACACTGTCAACTCTACACAACACCCTCTATCAACTCTACACTACACCCACTGTCAACTCTACACTACACCCACTGGCAACTCTACACAACAACTACTGGCAACTCTACACAACACCCACTGGCAACTCTACACAACAACTACTGTCAACTCTACACAACACCCACTGTCAACTCTACACTACACCCACTGTCAACTCTACACAACACCCACTGGCAACTCTACACTACACCCACTGTCAACTCTACACAACACCCTGTATCAACTCTACACTACACCCTCTGTCAACTCTACACTACACCCACTGGCAACTCTACACAACAACTACTGGCAACTCTACACAACACCCACTGGCAACTCTACACTACACCCACTGTCAACTCTACACAGCACCCTCTATCAACTCTACACTACACCCACTGGCAACTCTACACTACACCCTCTATCAACTCTAACATACACCCACTGCCAACTCTACACTACACCCTCTATCAACTCTACACAACACCCACTGGCAACTCTACACTACACCCACTGGCAACTCTACACTACACCCACTGTCAACTCTACACAACACCTACTGTCAACTCTACACTACACCCTCTATCAACTCTACACTACACCCACTGCCAACTCTGATCAGTGTGTACGCAGTGTGTACTGAGTCCTGCTTAGTGTACTGACATGGCACGTGTGATAACGCCGCAGTCGTGGTACCGCCTGTTGTTGACACCCGGCGCCCCCATGCTGGGTGCAATCGTATTACCTTTGACCTTTGAACTTATTGTGAGAGTGCGGATTCTGAAACCAAAGAATGTATGTGTGTTGATGATCCCTGAACAACTGAAGGGAATGCACGTGTATGTGTGCACAAGGAGACGTGTGACATGTTTCGCACGTGAATGTGTTTGCGTTGATGGCACAAGGTATACTAACATGTTTTGATCTGCATCAGTAGCTGCCAACTGTTGGGCTGAGGATAAACTCGGAAGAGAATGTACATTCGTCTTGGTATTGGATCCCAAAGCTCCATACAAAGAAAGATATATTGCAGGGACCAGCAAATTTGCTGAAACGACCCAAGTTTAATTATGTCAAAACAATGTCATTTTTTTTATTTTCTAACTGTGTACACCGGTATCCCACATGACAGACCTAAGGAAAACTGCGTTCCTTGATCCATGGGGCTTTTGTTACAAAACGTGCTGACCACAGATACATTTCAATATCTATCTTCAGAGGTTCTGGTGAATTTGACAAAAATGAAAGAAAAAGTAGTCATATTAGTAGTAGTAATAGTAGTAGAAGTAGTAGTAGTAGTAGCAGCAGCAGCAGTAGTGCAAATGAATCTTAATGTTTGTCCGAATTTGCAAAGCCAAAACAATATAATTTGGCCAAAAAATTGTGAAGACATGTGGCTGTGCTATGTGTCTGTGAGTAATACATGTTTGTGTGTGTGTGTGTGTCTACGTGTGTGTGTGTGCGTGTGTGTGTGTCTGCGTGTGTGTGTGTGTGTGTGTGTGTGTGTGCGTGCGTGTGTGTCTGTCTGCGTGTGTGTCTGTGTGCGTGTCTGTGTGCGTATCTGTGTCTGTGTGCGCGCGCGTGTGTGTGTGTGTGCGTGCGTGTGTGTGTGTGTGTGTGTGTGTGTGTGTGTGTGTGTGTGTGTGTGTGTGTGTGCGTGCGCGCGTGTGTGTGCGCGTGTGTTTGTGTGTTTAATAATTCATGTGAGTATGAGTTTCTGCATGTCTATGTGTATAATACCTGTGCATGTGTTTGTTTGGTGATATGAGGGGACCTTGTGACAGAGGTGAGAGATTCCGCAAAGTTATCTTGTAGATAGGAGAATCTGTCCTCGAGATAACAAGCACACAGCTCAACCTGGTGTCCAGCTTCACGCCAACGGAGAAACTGTTTCAAAATGGCCTCAGCTTCCTGTCGCGTGTTTATGTTGTTGATGTCGATGTTGTCGGCGGTGAAAGGGGCCCGGACGTTGTTTGACGACGCCAGATATTACGGGGGGACTTCGTTTACAGACTACCTGACCAAGGCAGGACTCAGCTCCATGCTGAAACAGCCAGGTAACTCCATACAGCCGTGAGAACATAACTATATTAGATCCTGTGGATACAATCTTACATGCGTTAAATAACTGTTATAATGCAAGCTGTGGATACTGTATGGCAATTAGATCCCTACTTGAATGCACGCTGTGGATCCAATATTACACGAGTTAGATCCGTACTGTAATGCATACCATAGATCCTATATTACACGGGTTAGATCCCTACTATACAGCATACCGTGGATCCTATATTATAAGAGTTAGATCCCTACTTAAGGCATACTGTGGATCCTATATCAAATGACTTAGATCCCTACTATAAGGCATACTGTGGATCCTATATCACATGACTTAGATCCCTACTATAAGGCAGACTGTGGATCCTATATCACATGACTTAGATCCCTACTATAAGGCAGACTGTGGATCCTATATTACATGAGTTAGATCCCTACTATAAGGCAGACTGTGGATCCTATATTAGATGAGTTAGATCCCTACTTTAAGGCAGACCGTGGATCCTTTTTCACATGAGTTAGATCCCTACTCTAATGCATACTATGGATCCTATCTTACATGACTTAGATCCCTACTATAAGGCAGACTGTGGATCCTATATTACATGAGTTAGATCCCTACTATAAGGCAGACTGTGGATCCTATATTAGATGAGTTAGATCCCTACTTTAAGGCAGACCGTGGATCCTTTTTCACATGAGTTAGATCCCTACTCTAATGCATACTGTGGATCCTATCTTACATGAGTTAGATCCCTACATAGAAGTCCACCTACGCCGATGTCCTCACGGAGGCCCACCTATGTCCTCACCAAAGTCCACCTACCCCTACGTCCTCACAGAAGCCCACTACATTTATGTCCTCACAGAAGCCCACCTACCCGTTTATGTCCAAAAAAAAGTCCACCAACCCGTATATCCATATAGGTGTCACCCCGTCTATGTCCATATGGTAGTCCCCCCGCATGTCCAAAAGAGGCTATAACAATAATAATAATACGGTTGACCAACTAGGAAACATGAGCCTCTTTGCGCCTGTTCCGACGGCCTTCCAGTCCCTTCCAGCAGCCGTGAACCAGAGTCTGGCGAATGACCCGGCCTTCCTGAAGAACCTCATGTCCTACCACATCGTCACCGAAAGCGTGGTCTCAGCGTCCTTCGTCGACGAGGAGTTGCTTCCCACTGTTGCTGGAGCCGCCGTTCGCATCAACAAGTACAATAACAGTGGCAATGAGATTGTGAGTATCAAGTCTTGTACAATATCAGTGGCAAAGAGATTGTGAGTATCAAGTCTTGTACAATAACAGTGGCAAGGAGATTGTGAGTATCAAGTCTTGTACAATAACAGTGACAAAGAGATTGTGAGTATCAAGCCTTGTACAATAACAGTGCCAAAGAGATTGTGAGTATCAAGTCTTGTACAATAACAGTGACAAAGAGATTGTGTGTATCAAGCCTTGTACAATAACAGTGCCAAAGAGATTGTGAGTATCAAGTCTTGTACAATAACAGTGGCAAAGAGATTGTGAGTATCAAGTCTTGTACAATAACAGTGGCAAAAAGATTGTGAGTATCAAGTCTTGTACAATAACAGTGGCAAAGAGATTGTGAGTATCAAGCCTTGTACAATAACAGTGCCAAAGAGATTGTGAGTATCAAGTCTTGTACAATAACAGTGGCAAAGAGATTGTGAGTATCAAGTCTTGTACAATAACAGTGGCAAAAAGATTGTGAGTATCAAGCCTTGTACAATAACAGTGGCAAAGAGATTGTGAGTATCAAGTCTTGTACAATAACAGTGGCAAAGAGATTGTGAGTATCAAGCCTTGTACAATAACAGTGCCAAAGAGATTGTGAGTATCAAGTCTTGTACAATAACAGTGACAAAGAGATTGTGTGTATCAAGCCTTGTACAATAACAGTGCCAAAGAGATTGTGAGTATCAAGTCTTGTACAATAACAGTGGCAAAGAGATTGTGAGTATCAAGTCTTGTACAATAACAGTGGCAAAAAGATTGTGAGTATCAAGCCTTGTACAATAACAGTGGCAAAGAGATTGTGAGTATCAAGTCTTGTACAATAACAGTGGCAAAAAGATTGTGAGTATCAAGCCTTGTACAATAACAGTGCCAAAGAGATTGTGAGTATCAAGCCTTGTACAATAACAGTGCCAAAGAGATTGTGAGTATCAAGTCTTGTACAATAACAGTGACAAAGAGATTGTGTGTATCAAGCCTTGTACAATAACAGTGCCAAAGAGATTGTGAGTATCAAGCCTTGTACAATAACAGTGCCAAAGAGATTGTGAGTATCAAGTCTTGTACAATAACAGTGCCAAAGAGATTGTGAGTATCAAGTCTTGTACAATAACAGTGGCAAAGAGATTGTGTGTATCAAGCCTTGTACAATAACAGTGGCAAAGAGATTGTGAGTATCAAGTCTTGTACAATAACAGTGGCAAAGAGATTGTGTGTATCAAGCCTTGTACAATAACAGTGGCAAAGAGATTGTGAGTATCAAGTCTTGTACAATAACAGTGCCAAAGAGATTGTGAGTATCAAGTCTTGTACAATAACAGTGGCAAAGAGATTGTGAGTATCAAGCCTTGTACAATAACAGTGGCAAAGAGATTGTGAGTATCAAGTCTTGTACAATAACAGTGGCAAAGAGATTGTGAGTATCAAGTCTTGTACAATAACAGTGGCAAAAAGATTGTGAGTATCAAGCCTTGTACAATAACAGTGGCAAAGAGATTGTGAGTATCAAGCCTTGTACAATAACAGTGCCAAAGAGATTGTGAGTATCAAGCCTTGTACAATAACAGTGGCAAAGAGATTGTGAGTATCAAGCCTTGTACAATAACAGTGCCAAAGAGATTGTGAGTATCAAGCCTTGTACAATAACAGTGGCAAGGAGATTGTGAGTATCAAGCCTTGTACAATAACAGTGGCAAAGAGATTGTGAGTACTTCATTCATGCTTACTCTGCTCTAGGGGTGCCACTTAATGCTTGTTTACTCTACTGTGGAAGTACACACTTTATGCTTGTTTACTCTACTGTGGGAGTGCCTACTGTATGCTTGTTTACTCTACTGTGGGAGTGCCTACTTTATGCTTGTTTATTCTACTGTGGGAGTGCCTACTTTATGCTTGTTTATTCTACTGTGGGAGTGCCTACTTTATGCTTGTTTATTCTACTGTGGGAGTGCCTACTGTATGCTTGTTTACTCTACTGTGGGAGTGCCTACTTTATGCTTGTTTATTCTACTGTGGGAGTGCCTACTTTATGCTTATTCACTCTACTGTAGGGGTGCCTACTTTATGCTTGTTTACTCAACTTTGGGGGTGCCTACTTTATGCGTGTTTATTAAACTGTGGGAGTGCCTACTGTATGCTTCGTTACGCGATTTTGATTTGGCTATGCATAGAGTCGTTAGTCCAGCCAAAATATAACTCCATAATTGCAGACTAGTTCTGCAAGGGTGGAAACTGGACTTTTACAGTCAGTTAACTCCCTTGGCTGGGGAAGATGGGAATGAAGAGACACTGGATTGTCGAGGAGGAAGCTCATCTCTGTTTAAACCTTCCTTCTGACAGACGACGGTGTCCGGCAGCCCCGTGCTCCTCGTGGACCTGCCCTGTAGCAACGGCATGTTGTTTATGATGAAGAAAGTCATCTACCCTGTGCCTACCGGAAGTGCTTTCGACTATGTGGCCGAAAGTGACAATTTCAGCAGCCTCCGCTTTGCCATCACCAAGGCCGGCATGTCCCAGGTGTTTACAGGTGATTAGCGTATTTTGCGAGTCAAAACACATCTGTGACGTCATTCTATTGTTTGAGCGCGCCATTACTTTTAGGGAATGGGGAGTTAACTGTGTTATCTGCCGCTGTTGCACGTGCTCCGTCGCGAGCTGATCTTCACAGTGCATGTTTATTGCTCGTGTGTTGTCAGAGTGTAAGAGTAGAGATGTGTTTTAAGTAGGGGAATATCCTCGTAAATCTCCATTCCTTAAAAATATTCGGCCTCGGCTCCATTATTTGTAAGGAATTGAGAGTGACTCTGACATTCCCCTCTACGTAACAGTTACAACATCAACTCGCTCTATGATGGACAGGCATAACATGAGGCATGAATCTGATGAATCGAAGTTACTAGTCTGTGGGTGAATCTACTCTACGGGTGGCCCTGTCGTCTAAGGCGCCGCGATTCGCTGTGCAGAGTTGCGTCCCTTGGGCACGCCAGAAACCTATGATTGTGGGTTCGAATCCCGGTTCGCCCCAATTATGTTTCTAGGTTTGTCAGCACCATACCCGTGCTCGTGGATTTCACCGAAGTGGTAAACGTCTGGGACCTGCATCACTTCGGGTTTTCCTCCCACATTAAGCTGACACGCCGTGATATAACTGGAATACTGTTAAAAGCGGCGTAAAACCCAACTCACTCACTCACCACTACTTTACGTGTCTGTTGTTGAATCAAGGTTACTTAACAACATCCTGATGTGTGTCTGTCCTCAGCTGACAAGCAGACGGTATTTGCCCCTGACGATGCCGCCTTTGCTCGCCTACCCCCCGGAGTCATGGATATCCTGCTGGATGACATCCCCCGACTGCAGGGTACGTCAGCTGTGACCACACCAACCATTTGACCAGTTTTTATCCCCCCTACCCCCTAGAATATCAAATGGTCGGTCCCTACCAGAGCTGGGCACCGCAATAGCGCACGGTCGATCTGTATGCCTGTCCCCCGGCACAGAGAAGAACGTGTATGTGTATCTACATAGTTGTGTTTTAAGCAAAGAAGTAAAGATATCTGCCAACAAACATGGAACAATTTAGAATGTTATTCTAAGCTGGAATATTTTTGCTCTGTCAAGGAAAATTTTAATTATGAACATCTGACTAATTGTATTGATATAGCCATCTATCAAACAACACTTGTTAGGTTTAGCTGTTCTAGTCATAATCTATTGGTAGAGGCAGGTAGGCATTATAAAATACCAAGGCCAGAACGTCTTTGTCCGTTTTGTATTGTGCCATATATAGAAACTGAATTCCACTTTTGTCTCGAGTGTCCATTCTATTCGAATTTAAGGGAACAGGTACTTCCTAAATATTTTTGCATAAGTCCAACTCTGGATAAACTAAAACAATTATATAGCTGCAACCTCTATGTTATAAGAAGATTGGCAAAGTATGTATGTCTCGCTCTCAAGAAAAGGACCACTCTTCTTAAAGATGTGCCTGTTATGTAGCACTATGCCATTGTACCAGTGTGAGACTGGTTGTTGCCAGTGTGTGTAACATGTGTTGGGACCCGATCCACGGGGCGTTTGTGGGTTATCACCAGCCTCAGTAACCTTTTGTGCATCCTTCTCAGCACTCCAATGAGTGTTGACCGCTTGCTCGTGGCTCGCGGGCGCTTTTGTGAATCGGTTCCCTGATGTAATAATCAGCGCTCTCTGTACATGTGATCTGACTAATCAAATGTACCTTGTATAATGGGCCGGTGGCCATTTACGGAATAAACTCATTCATTCATTCTACATAGTTACATACCTCCATCTGATGCTGGGTCATGAAGTCACAATAATTGGGCTTCCCACATTGTACACATATCGAGAATCGAACCCGGGTCTTCGGTGTGACGAGCGAACGCTTTAACCGCTAGGCTACCCGACCGCCCGCTGGGTCGTGAAGCCCAAACAATTCCAAGTCAGGTTGTCCATAGCAACAGTTCTGAACTCACCCTGTACTTGGTTACCGCAGCTATACAATATCTCTCTGTGAATACATTAAACAGCGCTAGGAACAGCTCAAACTAGATAATCCTATTTGAACTCTATCTTTAAGTGGAGTTCACCAGCTACTGTGTCAGTGAGGACAGTTGAATTCAAATATCACAGAATCAAAGAATCAAGATTCGTCTGAGATCATTTCAGTAATTGCGAGTCTCTTAACAGGCGTGCTGCGACACCACGTGGTGAACTCAGGGACCCTCTACAGTGCTGGGCTCTATGCTGGTCAGGTGCTGAACTCCTTACAGGGCACGCTACAGATAGGAGCCGGTAGGTATAACTGATATATAGCCTGGAGGTGAACTCCTTACAGGGCACGCTACAGATAGGAGCCGGTAGGTATAACTGATATATAGCCTGGAGGTGAACTCCTTACAGGGCACGCTACAGATAGGAGCCGGTAGGTATAACTGATATAAGCCTGGAGGTGAACTCCTTACAGGGCACGCTACAGATAGGAGCCGGTAGGTATAACTGTTATATAGCCTGGAGGTGAACTCCTTACAGGGCACGCTACAGATAGGAGCCGGTAGGTATAACTGATATATAGCCTGGAGGTGAACTCCTTACAGGGCACGCTACAGATAGGAGCCGGTAGGTATAACTGATATATAGCCTGGAGGAGAACTCCTTACAGGGCACACTACAGATAGGACCAAATAATACCAAATTAATTCTTTCTCTTTGACAGGCGGCTTGACAGTGAATGGATCCAACATCACTACAGCGGATGTCACTGTGACCAATGGCGTTCTCCACACGATCGACTCAGTGCTGATCTCCGCCTAGATCCCCACCTTGATCCCCGCCTAGATCCACACCTAGATCCATGCCTATATCTACGCCAGATCCCTACCTAGATACCCTGCCAGGATACCCCGCCTAGATTCATGTCTAGATCCCAACCTAGATCCACGCCTGGATCCCCACCCTGATCTCCGGCTAGATACCCTGCCAGGATACCCCGCCTAGATCCCATCGTATAGTCTATAGGTCGGCGCAAGGCCCCAGAGCTCAGTAGGAATGTCCGTGCATGTAGCCTGAGTGACATGTTCACAAACGGCTGGATCTGGTGTCGCCCTTGCCAGCCAGAACAATATGTACTCTGCATCTAGAATTGGTAGAATAAATGTTTACAGTCAGAAAGTGTTCTCATTGATGTCGGAAAGTGTTCTATCTGATGTCGGAAAGTGTTCTATCTGATGTCGGAAAGTGTTCACACTGGTGTCAAAAAGTGTTCACACTGGTGTCGAAAAGTGTTCACACTGGTGTCACGCCTGGGTTCCAAAATTACATTGTAAAACACATTTTGTCATGGGACGGGTTAACACTCATCTAACTCGTGTGTTGTCCCCTGAAGTTCAACTTGGAGGTGTGGAGGTGCAAGTGCAGATTGTTCGGAATTGTGGAACCATCAAAGATGCTAGGGCCCAAATCTGAAGTTAGAGATGAGACTTCTTTCTCCAGTACTCTACTTTCTAGGTGAGCTGAAATGGGGTTTAACGTCGCGTTCAAGATTATAGCACTTATATAGCGACGTGCATGCACGTTTGTGTGTGCTCAAACTAGTCAGGACTGATTACGATTTATAGTGTTAGCCCACTGAGATACCATGCCGAAGTTTAAAATAAATACACCACTCAGACACAGCCAACCAGTCCTTGTTTTAGTCCCTCAGTGTCTAGCGCCAGACAGGGTAACAACAACTTCCATCTAATAACGTCTTTTGGTGTGACGCGGCCGGGGATCGAACCCTTTCTAAACTTTGTCTGATATGATTGTGGTCTGTGCATTCAATTACAAATACTGTTTCCTCGGTAAGCTTCAACCCTCAGTGTCCAACACGAAATATAGTAATTTTGATGTCCATACATTTGAAACAAAATTTCCTTTTGGTTTTAATAGGAAACGCTGCGTTCAAATGTCGGCCATTGGTCCCACCATCACAGTTGTTGCCAGCTTGTAGTGAAAGATACGTCAAAACATTTGGCTGGTGTCTGAATTCAGATATCTGTTGCTCAGGAATTTGCCAGCTAGATGTATCTGCTATCTCATTTCCGATGTTGTCCAACACGAGCTACACTCCACACACTATCACGTGTAGTATACGTTAATATTTCATATTCATTGTGACCCGTTGATAATTGCGTTAACTGCCATGGAGCCGACGACACGTTATAGTGAGAGATAAGTCAACATACCGTGGTTCGACTCAGTAACACGTCTGCACATTCTGGGAGAAAATCACGTAGGCTAAACACATGACAACCAGTACCCAGGCAGGACAGAGCGGACACGGGAACATCCGGGGTAGAATAGCACTTCAGCAACCAAGGCTTGTCGTAAGGGGCGACATTTTGAAATGATGTGCCCAACTTCCTGAGTCTTCCTCACATGGTGACAGTTCTTGCGTCTTTATGGAATTAGATGTTTTGTTTGTTTAACGCCGCACTCAGCAATATTCCAGCTATATGATGGCGGTCTGTAATAAATCAAGTATGGACCAGACAATCCAGTGATTGCTGTCATGAGCATTGATCCACGCATTGTGGATACGATGACATGCATCAAGCAAGTCAGCGAGCCTGACCACCCGATCCGACTGGTCACCTCTTGCGACAAGCAGTCGCCTCATATGAAATGCATGGGTTGCTGAAGACTTATCATTAGTAGATGTGACAATCCTGCAGTACCACTTGAGTTCCAGAAAGAACACTACCTACGTAAAGGATATTGACAAATTGACATGCAACACATTGAACCATGGACCCTGACAGACAACGGACACACAGTGAGATACAAAATGCCTTTAATGCCTTTGATTCCTTGTCAGTTGCCATCTCGCCATACACTGGACACTGCTGGGTGCATTCAGACAGACATGTACCACAACACACATAAATACTCATCATAGACACAACCGATCTGGAGTTACAATATCACATTGTGCAGCAGTCACATGACGAGATCCCTTCTGCTTGATCTGACAGTATCACTACAAGAGGCAGGGTAGAGTGTTCACTGCCCATCATTAGTAGTGAGTAAGTGAGTGAGTGAGTGAGTTTGATTTTACGCCGCTTTTAGCAATATTCCAGCAATACCACGGCGGGGGACACCAGAAATGGGCTTCACACATTGTACCCATGTCGGGAATCGAACCCTGGTCTTCAGCGTGACGAGCAAACGCTTGAACCACCAGGCTACCCGACCGCCCCATCACTAGTAGAGGCAGGGTAGAGTGTTCACTGCCCATCACTACTAGAGGCAGGGTAGAGTTCACCCATCACTTCTAGAGGCACGGTACAGTGTTCACCCGCCTATCACTACTAGAGGCAGGGTAGAGTTCACCCATCACTACTAGAGGCACCGTACAGTGTTCACTGCCCATCACTACTAGAGGCAGGCTATAGTGTTCACGGCCCATCACTAGTAGAGGCAGGGTAGAGTGTTCACGACCCATCACTACTAGAGGCAGGGTAGAGTGTTCACCCATCACTACTAGAGGCACGGTACAGTGTTCACGGCCTATCACTACTAGAGGCAGGGTAGAGTTCACCCATCACTAGTAGAGGCAGGCTATAGTGTTCACGGCCCATCACTAGTAGAGGCAGGGTAGAGTGTTCACGACCCATCACTACTAGAGGCAGGGTAGAGTTCACCCATCACTACTAGAGGCAGGCTATAGTGTTCACGGCCCATCACTAGTAGAGGCAGGGTAGAGTGTTCACGACCCATCACTACTAGAGGCAGGGTAGAGTGTTCACCCATCACTACTAGAGGCACCGTACAGTGTTCACTGCCCATCACTACTAGAGGCAGGCTATAGTGTTCACGGCCCATCACTAGTAGAGGCAGGGTAGAGTGTTCACAACCCATCACTACTAGAGGCAGGGTAGAGTGTTCACCCATCACTACTAGAGGCAGGGTAGGGTGTTCACAACCCACCACTACTAGAGGCAGGATTGAGTGTTCACTGCCCATCACTTCTAGAGGCAGGGTAGAGCGTTCACGACCCATCACTACTAGAGGCAGGGTAGAGTGTTCACAACCCATCACTACTAGAGGCAGGGTAGAGTGTTCGACCATCACTACTAGAGGCAGGGTAGAGTGTTCACGGCCATCACTTCTAAAGGCAGGGTAGAGTGTTCACGGCCCATCACTACTAGAGGCAGGGTAGAGTGTTCACGGCCCATCACTACTAGAGGCACGGTACAGTGTTCACCCGCCTATCACTACTAGAGGCAGGGTAGAGTTCACCCATCACTACTAGAGGCACCGTACAGTGTTCACTGCCCATCACTACTAGAGGCAGGCTATAGTGTTCACGGCCCATCACTAGTAGAGGCAGGGTAGAGTGTTCACGACCCATCACTACTAGAGGCAGGGTAGAGTGTTCACCCATCACTACTAGAGGCACGGTACAGTGTTCACGGCCTATCACTACTAGAGGCAGGGTAGAGTTCACCCATCACTAGTAGAGGCAGGCTATAGTGTTCACGGCCCATCACTAGTAGAGGCAGGGTAGAGTGTTCACGACCCATCACTACTAGAGGCAGGGTAGAGTGTTCACCCATCACTACTAGAGGCACCGTACAGTGTTCACTGCCCATCACTACTAGAGGCAGGCTATAGTGTTCACGGCCCATCACTAGTAGAGGCAGGGTAGAGTGTTCACAACCCATCACTACTAGAGGCAGGGTAGAGTGTTCACCCATCACTACTAGAGGCAGGGTAGGGTGTTCACAACCCACCACTACTAGAGGCAGGATTGAGTGTTCACTGCCCATCACTTCTAGAGGCAGGGTAGAGCGTTCACGACCCATCACTACTAGAGGCAGGGTAGAGTGTTCACGACCCATCACTACTAGAGGCAGGGTAGAGTGTTCACAACCCATCACTACTAGAGGCAGGGTAGAGTGTTCGACCATCACTACTAGAGGCAGGGTAGAGTGTTCACGGCCATCACTTCTAAAGGCAGGGTAGAGTGTTCACGGCCCATCACTACTAGAGGCAGGGTAGAGTGTTCAAGGCCCATCACTACTAGAGGCAGGGTAGAGTGTTTGACCATCACTGCTAGAGGCAGGGTAGAGTGTTCACGGCCCATCACTACTAGAGGCAGGGTAGAGTGTTCACCCATCACTACTAGAGGCAGGGTAGAGTGTTCACCCATCACTACTAGAGGCAGGGTAGAGTGTTCACCCATCACTACTAGAGGCAGGGTAGAGTGTTCACGGCCCATCACTACTAGAGGCAGGGTAGAGTGTTCACGGCCCATCACTACTAGAGGCAGGGTAGAGTGTTCACGGCCCATCACTACTAGAGGCAGAGCAGAGTGTTCACGGCCCATCACTACTAGAGGCAGGGCAGAGTGTTCACGGCCCATCACTACTAGAGGCAGGGTAGAGTGTTCACGGCCCATCACTACTAGAGGCAGGGTAGAGTGTTCACGGCCCATCACTTCTAGCAGAGAAGAGATCCATACCTCCACTGAGTAGGAGGGGAACTACATATTTAATACAAGGATTGACTTAAGACGTGAGTGCAGAAATTAATTTAAATGACCTGAATAAAGACTCAACTCAAGAGTCAAGCCATTGATCAGAATACAGACTTCGGTAGACAGATGATGTCAGCGTGTGAGGACACAGTACCAATGATGGTGGGGAGACCTCCTGCTCAACTGTCAGGTGTCCGAGGCAAGGGGCTGGCTTGTAGGTAAAACCATGGTCTGGCTAAAACTGAATACAAAGTCCGATGTGTAATTTACATATCACAACTTCCCTTACAACATGCACACAAAGAAGTATGCAGCATCTGTTACAGTGGATGTCAACTGGAGGCAGTACAATACATGTTACTCAGGCCCTGATGACAGGACACACTCGTGGCTGCCCGTTACCATGGTTACAGGGCACTCGTTACATACAGAAAATAAATACAACACAATGCTGATAACAGGTAAGTGATTGCCCTATAAATACATATAATGCAGAGTCCATTGCTACTGTGGTAGTGGCATTTTAGGCACAGCAACAGTAGCCATGGGAACAATTTTGTTATAAAGACTGTATACAATATACAACACAGTTACCAGGGAAGTGGTCGCCATGGTGCCCATCAGCAATACTCGTATCAACAGAAG